TTGGTTGGCAATTGTGGTCATGTTGAAAAAACTGAAATGGTAATAAGAATGCGGACAATTACAGCCAGGTTCGTGAAGCTTTAGTTGGGAATGAGGACTCTTTTGAAAACTTGACTAGAGTCCATGTGTGTTTTATTCTGGCAAAGAATCTGATTGCATTTTGTCCATGTCATAAGACTTTAAATAAGGCTGAATTTGAAAGTGGTAGACTACTTTACCTTGCAGAGTCATTTTCAAGACAGCTCAAGTTCAGGCTGTAGGATGGATAGTTTTGGTTGCCTTTATCCAGACCTACAGAAAGAATCAGAATAGAAAGGAAGCGCTGAAAGATGTGAAAATTCTGCAGCTCAGCCAGAATGGAAGCAAGTATTAAGCTGGGGATCAGGGACAAAATGTCATTGTTTAGATCTAAAATATCACCCGAAATTCTGATATGTTCAGATGTGGGCTTTTTGAAGTTAATTGGATCATGATGTGGTTTAATCCAGCCACGAGTTCATAACTAATGTGATGTTAGGAGGTGATGCCTAGTTAAAGGAGTTGGATCACTAGGGGTATGACATGGAAAGATATATTCTTGTCCACAACTCTTTCTTCTCACTCTGCTTCCTGGTTGCCACTGGGATGAAAAACCTTTCTCTGTAATTCTCTTCCACCCTTCATTTTCTGTTTTGGAGATAGCCAACCATGGACTGAATCCTCTGAAACTGTGAACCAAAATAAACATGTTTTCTTTAAATTGTGGTTATCAGGTATTTTTGTCCCAGTGACAGAAAAGTGACTATTATGGAGATAATGCAAATATGATGCTTGAGCCAGTGGCAAGAGTAATGTCCTGAACTCATAGATAAAATATGAACTATACATATATATCTTGGACAGCTTCATGGACAAGACATGAATTTTAACTACATATTGAAATGTGGACACTTTTTCTAAAAAGGTTGTAAGTCCAGGGAACCATCTTGAGCAGACAGAAGCAAGATTTTGCACACAGCATTAAAAATGAGAGAAAAGGCCTGGATAAGCATGTATCCCTGGGCTTCTCAAAGTTTGACCAAGATGAGAATCACTTGGAAAGCTATAAAATACTGTCCTCAATTTGTTGCATTTAGGAAAGGACCTAATAATGTCCTGCATTTCTCACAGGCTCAGATATTACTAATATTGCTGGCCCAAGGACCACGTGGAGGGTAGAGTAAGAAACCCAGTGAGCACTAAATGCTGATCCTGGGATGGAAAGCAAAGTTTGAAAGGCAAAATAGGTGGGCAGTATTTTTCTATCAAAGATGCCATTCAAGTGCTAACAAAATCCAAGAAGGCAAGAGAATGAGTGAAGTTGGGTGGTGGTACTTTGTAGAACTGGGACGTATATGTACATTCTCTTTGAGTTTGGAAAATTGCTGCCATGGAAGAATATAATCTCACTATCACAAAATCTTTTAGTTCTTTTAAAGAAAAGCCATAAATTTACTTTATATTAAATATGAATTTTATTTGTTTGTAAATTCTGATTCAAATTAAACACAAATATACACACATACCCACAAATAAAACATTGTAAATCAAACAAATTGAATTTTCTTGCTAAATTTGCACTAGGGATTGAATTTAGGACCCTACACTTGTGAGGCAGGCACTGCACAACTGAGCTAAATTCTCAGCCCATTTTCTTACTAAACTTGCAAACATTTTCATCTAAATAGTCAAATAGGTTCAGTGGGTTTAAAATATGGGCATAAGAAGACCGAAGCTAGCCCTTAAACAAGGCTTACAGGTTTACTCCTGGATGAATGTTATGAATTAGAGTTAAGTAAAAGAGTTCACAACAAGGAGCAGAGATCAGAACTCCAAAGCCAAAAAGGTAGGTAAGAAGACTTTGGAAACAAAGAGTTGATGTTGGGAAGTAGTGAGTTAAATCCTACTATATTAAAAAAAAAAAAGTGAACAAGTTTTAAAATCGTTTTTAAAACACAACTGATAGTCACTGACTCTGAATTGTTTCTAGCCAGGGCTAGACTTGTAGAAGAAAGTAGAAAAGTAGTCCAGGAAAGCTAATAATTCAATCCTTAAAAATTTTACTTTTTTATTCTGTCACCAAAAAGGATCCTACATGAGCAGATTAGCTAAAGCTAAAGTAGCTATCTAGCTAAAGAAGACTCACGTTGATATGAGATTTCAATCCTTTAGCTCATAAGGTTGTGTGTAGTGACCACACTTACCTAGTGTCATACATTTTCTTTATTTCTCTGATGTTTTAGTAGAAACTTACTAATTGGAGCCCCATGGAGTAGTCATGATGGCCAAGCCTCTAAAGTGCTTCACTCAAGGGAGTGACAAAGTCAAAATGGACTCTTGGGAAGTGATTTAGTTTCAGAGCAGCCTTATCTGTGGTACAAGAGTTCAGTGGGCACACGGCCAGAGTTAGCAGTAAAATGACAGGGGAAGAAGTAAGACTAGCAGACTGGTAGGTTGTAATTAGGGAAAAAGACAGTAAAATGTTCATTTTTGTCTTTGAAACTCAGGTTCTTCAAAGCATGATAGGAAACAAAGTTGTAAGGAAGAAATTATAAGTTATCCATGGGTCTCATGGCAAGAAAATTCACAGCCTTTCTTCTACACTGGCATTTTAAATTAAACAACTATTCACAAATTCTCTCTAGAGCAGTTTAGGAAGACACAGTCAAGGCTCAACTTTATTTTGCTGCTTTACTGTTTGTCAAGACTACAGAGGCAGACTCTGTAAAAACTGTCAACATCAAAACAACTTTGTTCTTTTTCCTTTAAAAACATAGCACAATAAAGATATGACACAATCCTGGCTTATTAAAAATCTCTTAGAAATCTACCAGAGATGCAGGGATGTTGGGAGAGAAAACACCGAGCACAAAGGACTCAGCCTGAGGTAGGAGAAGCAGACACCAGAGCTGGAAATTGTGTGAGGCTTAAACAAAAGACCTCATTAAACTCAACAGAAAGCTTTTGTAAATTTTCAAATACAACTCAGAATTTTCAGAGAGTAAACAGTGTGAGAGTAAAACAATATTGTATAATAGATACTAACTTTATTGATCACAGTACATTCCAGGTGATTTTATATCAAAATTATGTAAGTCACATATAATAAGTCTTCATTACGTATCAGTGACCTAAAACACAAGCCTACAGTTTTATACTAAACAGAGTAACAGGTTCTATTAAGAATCACCTTCCTGTTGAGTCTCCCCGTGTCTCCCCAGTAGCTCAGCAGTCTTTCCCAAAAAGCAAAGCAGAAGGTTCATAACCTCCGGTTCATGTCACTTAGAAGCTTGCAACATATGCTCATCCGTGTTTATAGTGGCACAGTTTGTAAAAGCTAAAACTTGGAAACAACCCAATTACCCATCAACTGGAGACTGGATAAAAAGGATATGTGTTTTTTTATTATGAAATGGAGCACTACTCAACCATAAAGAACAAGAAACCAGAGACATTTATAGTTAAGTGGATGCACATTGAGGCCTTATTCTTTTTTTTTCCTCTCATTGAGTTTATTGGTACTTTTTAGGTACACAGTACAGCTACATTCATCATCGGGATCTTGTACCTTTATATGACAGGCTTCGGTTCTCATTTTTTCCCCATACCCCTGCCCTCCCTTCACCCACTCCTCCTAGTTACAAAAAATGTATTTCCATTTTTTTGTTTTCTCAGATTTTTCTTTTCCCTATTTTCTTTCCCCTACCCTTCCCACTTCCCCTACACCTTTAGCCCTTTTCTTCCTATTTCACATTGTCAATTATAGCATTAGGATCTTATTTACAATTATAGTTTTTCACACCAGAGAAACTATTCGGTATTTACACATGTGTGACTTATTTATTTCACTTAGTCTGCAGAAAGTTTAGTCCTCCCTGTAGTAGTAATACTAGGGAAGAAGTACTTTTGCTAGTCTACTCATGGCCTTTTTTAACAATGAATGAATACAGAAGGATTATATGATTGTACAGTTTCAAATATAATTAGCAGTTTTGTCTTAATTTTTTACGGTAACTATAAAAATGTCCCACCAAAATGAGAATTACACATATGTTACATACTCTGGTGAAATTAGTAAGTCACACATGTGATGTGTAAATAATGAATCGTTTCTCTGGTATGAAATACTAAACATGTAAATAATTGATTTTGTGTAATAGGAAGTAAAGGTCTAAAAGAGTGGGGGAAGTGGGAAGGATATTGGAAAGGTAAGAAGGCAAAATAAAAAATTTAAGAAAAGAAAAAACATAGAAACAATGTCTTTGTACATAGGGAAGGGTTGAGGGGGTAAAGGGAGGGCTAGAAATGGGGAAAAAATAAGAACCAGGTTACATCATGTAAAGGTGCAAGGTCCTAATGATGAATGTAATAATATTGTACACCTAAAATGTACCAATAAACTAAACAAAAACAAAACAAAAAAAAAGAAGTAGAAGCTAGCTTCCCTAATGCACTTAATCTATTGTTGCCCTTTCTATGAGATAAAATACAGCAAAAGTTTTCTGCCAGATTTCCCCCTTTTGGTTAGAAAGAGGGAAAGGCAGGTATGCATGAGTCCCACCCAAGCAAGCACCAAGAAATGTGCAGGTAGGGCCCATGCCCCAGGATGAAAGGCTCAACTTGGCTCATCTGCACTCCACCATCACCGGGAGTGCACCTGAGAAGCCGAATGAAGTAAAGTACAAATTCACCTGCATTCATGTGAGCACAGAAAAATGACTATGGTTAGCCTGTTTAGAAAGAAATGTGAAAGAAATTTTATAAGTGAGAATTTTTGCTTTTGGTTTTTCACGTTCGTTGATTTTGTCTTTTGGCATCCCTAAAAGAGACGACTTGCTGGCAACTCAAAGGTATAGAAAACTTCAGATCTTCTTTCTTCCTCAACATGACATGGCTCCATTTAACCAATATGGCTGTGATTTGAAAAGTAATTTTTCCCATCCTCCTCATTTGACCTGGTGTCTTGCCTTTGTTCTTTCTAGGAAGCAGAATGTGCCTACGTACTCTTCGTTGTTGCCATATTATGGGTGACAGAGGCTTTGCCGCTGTCGGTAACAGCTTTGCTGCCAGGATTAATGTTCCCCATGTTTGGGATCCTGCCTTCTACACATGTAAGTTCTCCCGCAAAAGTTGTCAAAATTAGATTCCTTTTTTTTTTTTTTTTTTTTTTTTTTAAGGTGCAGTAATCCTGCTGGTACGATTTCCCCAGAAGTCTGCCAAATTTCCAGTGATTCCTTCCCTCTGGGTTTCTGCATGTGTATGCCCCTCCTGTGGCGGGGGCCACACATGTTTCCATTTCTTGAGTCATGTGTTTCTGTAGAAGAAATACGTGTGTCTCATCTTCTCTTGTTGACATTTGTGACTGATGCCTCTTTCCCAACAAGAGAAACATCTCATTCACATCCCGCATAACCTTTTTCTATTCACCAGACTTGAGTTTCGCAGTGTTGGAAAAACAATTTTCGTTTCTAATGAAGAAAAAGCTTCCCTGTTTTCTTTTCCAGAAACCTGCCATTTCAAAAGATAAAGCCAGACTAACTTTCATGTGTACTTCTATTTTATTCTTGCTGTGCAGAGTTTATTCATGCTGAGAGCTATTTCTTACCTTTATACATCTAAGGGTGCCCATCTGAAGAAAATGAATTCAGTTTCCCATTAAGAGCATAAAATGGAGTGAAACCAGAGTATCTCTCTCCGTGTAGTCTCCAGCTGCCCAGCAAACAGTGGCTGCCTGAACAACAGCTGAAACATTCTTAGGAAAGATGACAACTTCAAGTTGCCAGTCAGGACAATTTATCACCTTTGGAGTTTTCTGCATAGCTGCAACACTGTTCTCTTGAGGTTTACCTATTTGTAACAGGGGTGGAGAATTTCCTTAATTAATCGTGACTGCAATTCTTGCTGTGAGAGACACTGCTCCCTTGTTTATTGTCATGTCATTCTTCCCAGTTTTGAAACCCAAATCTTCTTGCATTTCTGACCCTCTCTGCTCCTCTTTCTTCTTGCACTTCTCCTTGTCTCCTAATCGTAACTCTTTTCTCTCTAAATAACATGGATTTGGAAGAAAGCATGGCCAGGTCTGTACTTCAGTTTCTAATACCCCAGGCTGACATCCTTTGACGTGGAATTTGTGATAAAGAATCTAAGGTTCTTAAATGCTCCAACACACTGCCTCTTTGTGGTACAGGGGTGCTTGACTGAAACAGCAAATCTGTAGATGACAGGAGTGTTTGTGTTACTGTTGCTGGAGATACCTGCCCCGGAATCCTCTATCCCCAGAGGTACCAGAATCTGACTAATTTAATAGCCATAGCCTCTCACATTTCCTTTCAGATCAATCCCCACCCTGAGGCAGAATCTTCTCCACAATATCTCCCTAACAGACACTATCATTCACTGCTAAAGTGCTGTGTACTTTCAACAAACCACAAAGAAAATCATGTCATTTTGAATAATCTAATCTTTCAATTTAGCTTCACTGGGCTGAATCTGAAATTCAATCACTTTGATCAATTAAAATTGCACCCAGCACATAAGATTCTCCATTGTTCTTTTGCATGGTGCTGTTGTTTGGATTTTAAAACTTAATATGATTTCCTTCTTATGCGTTCTCATTTCCAGTCTTTATGATTTCCAGACTTCAACTCTACAAACCCATTACCTCCAATTCCATCACCAGCAACATCTTTTTTCTCTTGGCAGAACTGTAGTTTTTCAAAAATACTTAAGAATTAAGTTAATGAATGCAAATGCTGATACATTATAAAATCTTTATATATTTGAGCTAATATTATTATCATTTGTTGATTGACAGAAGTGAATAAATCATCCTTAAACATTCAAAATACTTTGAAGGTAAAAGTACAATTCTATCATCTCCACTCTGGTGTTTCAGCCCAAGTTTGTCTTGTATTTTATGTGAATTGCTGTACCTAGGGAGCTTAAGTAGACTTTATAGGAATTCAACGGACTTAGATTATGAATTTTAGTAGACAAAACTTTTCTTCAGTCTTTTCATCCTCTTCCCGGATAGGGCAACTAGTCTTTAAAACTCACATATAGCTTGCCAAAGGTAGAGCATATTTTGAAAAGAGCTAGATATGTTTTAGAAAGTCCAAGCTTAAAATCCAATATTTATCCTACCTATTTATGTGATTCTTATCCTGTCACTTAATAACTTTCATCCGCAAGAAGTGGGACTTGATAAAGCCACGAAACTCAAGGGTTTCTGTAACAAATTAAATAATATAATGTGAAACATTGATATGAACAATAGCATAGGATTCTTATGTGTTTTAATATTCACAATTTCAAGATTAAATCATCATTCTAACCTATTGCAGCCTTTCTGAATACTACAATGCATTGTACATATGTTCATCTAAACTCAGGGCCCTAAGTACCTTTCTCTTGGGCCACAGTAGTTGTAACCTTCCTTCATCTATTTATTAAGCCAAGGCAAAATGTTTATATTTTGCTGAACACATTACTGCACTTGAAGAATATCAACAATTGAAATTTTCCCATATATGTTTAATCAAACTTGAAACACTAAGCACTGGGTAGAATATACCCAACTTGACATTTCAAATGATCAATATTATTATTAATCAACATTAATAATAAATATCAATAACAAATGTTAGTAATCTATATTAACAAAAATGTTAGTTTTAAGTTATAAATCTGTGAAAGTGTACACATATGTATATATAGATATTACGTTATATACTTGTTCAGCCATTCAGTAAATATTTATATGATAGGACCTGCTGGGCACTTGGGAACATATCAATGAATTAAAAAGACACGAAGATGTCCAGTCTTCCTAGAGAAACCAAGGCAGTAAAAGACGTGTTTGATAAGTAGATGAATTAAATAGTGAGTTAGAAAGGTGATTAGTGGTATGCTATTAAAAAAGGTTAAAGGGGATTAGAAAGGTTAGACCTCTTTGAGATGGTGATACCTGAATAAAGATCTACAGGAGAAGAGGAAGCTACCCATTTGAATATCTGGAAAGCGACATCTGCAGAAAGGGGAACACCCCGTGAAAAGGGCTTGTGGCAGGTCCAAACCTTAAGTGTGACTGGAGCAGGGTGACCAACAATGGTGACAGAAGATAATGTTGTGAAGGCAGATGGCGCCATGTAGGGCCAAAAAAGGCTCTTGTGAGATTTTTAACTCCTAATGAAGTGGAACCCTTGGGAGACTTTTGAGCAGCAGAGGAATACAATCGATCTGACTTTGATTTTAAAAGAAAAACTTGAGCTACTATATTGAGAAACTAGGTGGGAAAAAGGGAGACAGGTAGCAGGTTATTACAGTATAAGTGAGAGACTGAAAACCCAACCGGAAGAGTAAAAATGATTTGAATGTGTTATTGATAAATTTTATAGGTAAAACTAATGAGCTTTCCTGACTGATTGGATGTAGCACTTGACTGAGAAGCTATTTAAGGATGCTTCTTAGCTTTTTGATTTGCCAACCAGAAAAATGGAGTTGCTATCAGTTAAAATACAAAAATAAATTATAGGCAGGGTACGTTTAGTGTAAGAGGAATGCTAACACTTAGGGTGCAGTGCTGGACAAGTTTACAAAAACCTGTTGGACAAGTGAAGATGTTGAGTAAGCAGGTGGATATACTTGATCAATAGTCCAAGGTTCATGAGGAGTGGTTGATCTGGAAGTATCAGCTCTTTCAGCCATCAACATGTGGATAGTGTTTAAAGCCCAAAGACCTGAAAATACCTGAGGAATGAGTGAAAATACAGTACAAAGAACAGAGCCCTGGATATCTACAACATTAATAAGTCAGTGAGAAGAGAACATACCAGCCAAAGAGATTAAGATGTGCAGGTTAATAAGGCAGAAATGTGTAGGGCCTTGAAATCCATGTGAAAAAAATATGGATGAAGCAAGATTGTATTTGTTGAATCTGCTGATGAGTCGGGTAATATAAAAATTAGAAATTTGGTAATTAGATTTCACAAAACAACTGACATAGAAACTTTAAAAGTGTTATCATAATCATATGCATTAAAACTTACAAATTACTTTTTCAGAAACCTTATCTCATTTAATTCACAAACTTAATGAAAGGTATACTCAAATTTTACAACTCCTTATTGATTGGTACAAAGGTTACTCAACTGGTGAATTATATAACTAACCCCATGCTCTGATTACAAAAGTTCACGTATTTTGATGAAATCCCATTTGGAAACAGTATTATAAATATCTTGATCTTGAAGGAGGATTTCAAGTCTTATTATAGGTTCTGTTTGATACATCGATTTGTTTCAAAAATAGTTATATTTATCAGTGTCATACACAACCAACAGCAGCACCTTCTTCCATTACCCCGCTAGACAACTCGGCTATCCATTAGCTATATTTCCATTGCTAAGACAAAGTGTGTACATGCCCAACATAGAAAAGAAAAGGTTCATTTTAGTACTATTTCTGAGGCTTCAGTCCATGATCAGCTGGCTCTGAGGCAAAAATGGCACAGCAGATGATCACGGTGAAGCAAAGCTGGTCACTTCACAGCAGCCAGGAAGTAGGGAGACAGGTAAAGAGGCAGAGAGAGAGGGACCTTGAACTTGCTGTAATTATCACAGTCCCACCCCCACGGCCCAACTACACACACTTACAGATATGCTTTACTAATCTAGGCTTTTTTCAGAGTTGAATATGATAGCAGTTAGTGAGTTGTATTGTCATGATCAAAATTGCAAAAGAAATAAGGGCAGAGGACAATTCAAATGTCTATTTATCATTTAAAAGTCAACTTGACCATCATATCTTATAAAAAAAAATTACCTAGGAAAAGGTGGCTGCTTATTCCACTTCTGCTTTGAGGGAGGTCTCCCTTATATACTTAAGATAATTTATAGACTTCTTTATTAACTTAGTTTTCCTTGTCTACTAACTTCTTAGCTTCTTAAGATCTATTAATTAAAAATCTTTTGATTGCATATATGTGCTGGCCATATGTTACATCCATACATGTAAGGATAAATGAGACACATCCTGCTTTAAAAATTTGATTCAGGACTTTGCCAAATTTGTTATTGCTACTCTGCCACATACTATTAAAAAACAACGGGAAAAGAAAAAAATGTGAAAAAATGAAAAGAAGAAAATAGTGTTTGTAAATGGGGAGGGGAGGAGGGGGGTGAAGAGAGGTCAGGGACAAGGGGAAAAATGAGAACCAAGACCTGTCATGTAGAGGTACAAGATCCCAACAATGAATGTAACTGTACTGTATACCTAAAATGTAGCAATAAACTCAATTTTTAAAAAAATAAATAATAATTTTTAAAAATAACATTGGTGTATGGTTGGAGAAGTTAAGGCATAGGAACACTTTCCTGAATTTACTCAAATCCAGTATCCTGAGTATTCTTTCCTTTCTGCATATTTCTTGTGAACAGCGCTATCTCTGTGTAAGAACATAGAGCATGTTTTCATTTGTATTCAAACACATCTACATGTCTCTCAACAAAACGGAAAGATAATGTACTCAAAGGTCAAAGGACAGCCTAATGCCTTTCTCATTCATCTCCCCCGACCAACGCGAATAATTATGTGTTTAATTGTGAATTCAGGTGGCATCTACTTATTTCAAAGATTTTCACCTGCTGTTGATTGGAGTCATCTGTTTAGCAACATCAATAGAAAAATGGAATTTGCACAAGAGGATTGCTCTCAGGATGGTGATGATAGTGGGTGTGAACCCAGCATGGTAAGTACTATTTATTTCCTGCTTCCAGCTTACATTCTGAGCATTTTTGTGCAGAACAAATAGCCAAATGAGTAATGCTGTCCAGGGAGTTGCTTGTAGACCAGCATCATTTATTACTTTTTCTTCTTCTGTAAATATGAAAGTATAAATATGAAGCATAGTTAAGCTGTAGGATAAAACAGTTTTCCTTTTACTGCATGCCTAATTACAAGGAGAGTAAAATAAGTGCACACAATTCTCTCACTTTTAATGTACCATTCCAGTCAAAGATGAGAGAAGCCTTGAACTTCAACAGACAAAAATGATAGACTTCAGAGTAAATTGCATTCCTATCTTGTTTATTTGGTGATGACACATTCAAAACTTTTTGAGAGCATCCTTTATCAACAGGGAGGGTTCTATGAACCAAAGACAATAATGTTACTGACAAAATACAGATGTGTGCAGAAGAATTCCAAGGTGAACATTTTTCTTTTTAAATCAACTGTTAGAAAGTGAAAAATCAATTAAGAACTTTCATCTATAGAATGCAAAATCATTTGACTGATTTTTCATTAAGCTAATGGAATATTTTGCTTTTATTCCAAATACTGTTTAATAACATGAATGTAAACTAAAGAAAATTTCCAGTTTCATAATAATTTGCATAATGATATTTTGCTTTAAAGCCTTAGGTGGTTTTTCCCTTCTCATCTTTCTTTGGAAAATAAAAAAAAAAAGTATTGACTTCTATTTTGTAATTCTAGGGAATAGTCCCATCTGCATTTATCATTTATACAGAAAATTATTTTGCTAAATTATACACACACACACACACACACACACACACACACACACACACACACATATATGCGATTCATCCTTGACAAATTTAGAAAAAAAATTACTTAAAAATTTTTGTGATACATGTGTTTAAGGCACTTTACTAATAAAATGAAGCAGTGCTCCCTGTCCCTTTCATGGTATAAAAATGTATGCTTTCCTTGACCATAAGATCAGGGCCCCAGGGGAGGGAATAACACTGCAGAGCAGAGGAGGAGTTCTGATCAGTCTGCCACCTAATGGCTTGCCAGCTTTAGGTGTTTTCACCAAACAGAAGCTGTATCTGATCCCACTTTTTGTTTTGTTTTGTTTTGCAGTACTGGAGATTAATACCAGGCCCTTAGCACTGAACTACATCTCCAGCCTTTTTTTATTTTTATTCATTTCTAAGATAAGGCCTTAAGTCACTAAATTGCCCAAGCTGGACTTGAATTTGTGATCTTCCTGCCTTAGTCCTCCCAAAGTATGAGATTACAGGCATGTGCCACAATTCCCAGCTAATCTCCCTCTTTTTAATAGAAAGATTTAACAGTTTACAGATACTGTAAGTTAAAATTATTTCTATAATTATTATTATTATTGTTATTATTCCTATTACTATTACTGAGTCAAAATTTGTTCAAATAGATCTCAAGTGTTTTCTTTTATATTGTCTCACACAAAGGAAATATAAACTATACCTGAATATGAAACATAAGGTGGAGTTGTTCTGTCCATTTATTTTAATAAAGGATCTTAAGAATTTTATAAACAGGTCTTGAATGATTTTTGGGGCCCTGTTGCTCCAAAGAAATCATGCTTTTTACCAAGTGTGACTTTCAAAGTTTACAGACATATTTTTAAATCCTAAAGTTTCAGGTGTGCTATTTCTAAAGACAAACTATTCTACTTTTACCAGAAGACCTGTAATAAATACAAATTCTTGACAAGAAGGAATGTCAGATTCAAGATGGTATAAATAGAATCTACAGAAAATTTTGAAACCTCATTTTAGCAAGTGATTTTCATCACTTTCTTCACCCACCATATACTGGACCAGAAGAATAAAGGAGTAAAAAGAAGATTTATAAAATTTAATCTGTTCTTCTTCTTGTGTCTTCTTGGTACACATCTAACAAACACAGATATGACCAAAAGATAAAATAAAAATTAAGGGACTAAATTCAAAAGTTGTTGGAACATTCATCTTCCCTATATCTGAGGCTACACAGTCATCTCTAAAGAGAGTTGGAGTATTGGCATAGTTTTATAAGCTGTTATATCATACATCAGTGTGCAGTTTGATGTACATTCACCCTTCTTCTGTTTTGGGAGAGACAATTCTTATGGTTCCTAGGAGACAAATACCATATTAACTCTACTTTTAATATGGGATTTGTTTGTTAATATGGGATTTCTACATGTGTTACTTTGATTTCTATGTGCCTTTCTTTGTGCTCAGAGTTCACCATCTGGGCTGAATCTTATCCTTCTGTGTTGTGAAAAACTTAATCCCCAAGTCACAGATAATATCCTTTGCCATTAGACAACACAGAGCTCCCTAAACAGAAAGCACAAGTCCGCACTAAAGTCTCTCATGTTTCAGGCTGACCTTGGGATTCATGATCAGCACTGCTTTCTTATCTATGTGGCTCAGCAACACCTCTACAGCTGCCATGGTGATGCCCATCGTGGAGGCTGTGTCCCAGCAGATCATCAGGGCTGAGGCCGGGGCTGAGGCCAATCAGATGACTTACATCAACGAAGCTGCCAATGTTGGACTGGACATCGATGGTATCATGTGTTGATATGACCACGATAGCCCTTTGGGCAATTAGGCATAAACTATTCACATACGAATGATAAAAATTTGAACTTTCTATAGTTTTCAGTGTCTATATAAAGGAATTACATATATTAGACAAATATCTTAAATTAACTCTTAAATTTATATTTCTGGCAAAAAGTAGAAGAATGTATTTTCTACCCTCTAGCCATTCTCAGGTATTTATAAGTAGATTTCCAGGTTACTCCTTCTGTCCTGAAATGACTTTCTTACATAATACTGGTAATCTTTCATTTCTACATTATATTTGGATATAGCATCAGATGTCCCTGTTTAATTCTGGTTCCTCTGATCTGATGAAAAGTGTTGGGGTGGGGAAGTTAGTGCTTATAAAATACTTTGTGAGATGAAAACTATATCAGTACAAGTTGAATTTATTTTTGATTCCTAGAAATATTTCCATTTTTCATACATACATACATACACACAAGCCTAGTGATAACCTCTTATTTAAATTGTTTTTATTTTATTTAATGTTTTGCAGAAACTGCTGTGGGACAAGAAACAAAGGAGAAAAAAGAGAAAACAAAGGCAGCTCCAGGGTAAAGAATATTGACATTTTGCTTAAGATTTCCCAAATTATATTTTAATAAAATTATAAACTGGGTCAATTTATTTTGCAGGTGTAGCAATGATACAGGGAATATTTCAAGCAAGATCGAGGTCCGAAAGGTACATTAAATTTGATTCTTTGTAAATAGTTATATGTGAAATTATAAGATACATTACTTGCTTGGTGATCTAAGAATTAATTTGCTTGACTAAGTCGAAGTGTAGTCTAATGGTTTGATGAGCCTTCATGGATGTGAAATGTAGATAGGAGCCAGTTTAGGCTCTGAAAAGTATTGTTTTTATTTTCTCTTTTTATTATGATCATGGTGATGGTAGCGAGGCCATGTAGTTTAGGAAATATAATTTTCATCTCTGAATGCTTTTTCTTTTTTATTAAAACTTTGCTGTCCTAATGCCCTAATTTTCATTAGGAGCATTCTCATTTCTTCCAGGTTATAAACTGAGAGCAACTCCTATTATATAATTAAAGTGATCATGTAATATTATCGTTTCTATTGTCACTAAAAATTCAATGTGAAACTTATGAGTTGCTTCTGTCAAATACAGGCAAAGAGTTGTTGTTGCCATCAAGATGTTAAAGGAAGGAAGGAAGGAGACTTTTGTAAACTACCCTATATAATTTATTTCCCCAGAATAAATCAATATAAAAGTACTATACCAGGTTACACTGGGAGCAATATATCTCAAGACCACTGAAAAATAATCCTGCCTAGAAATAGTCCTGCAGTAACCATGACATTAAGAATATCAGAATGGGGAATATGTTCCTTCTTCAGGCTATAATGCATTAGCATACAACTCAATAGGAAAAATAGCACTTGTTTACAGAAATCCTTATAGAAAGAGCAATTTCTATGTAAAACAAAGTAAACACTAGGATAAATACTAAAATGATTTAAGCCATTAACTACATATACATTAAGGGTCTTTAAATTTTTATTTACATTTTTATGTATGTACACATACATTTGACCTCTTTCAATTATCATTAAGGATAGAAGTAATTCTCTTAAAACAGTAAAATTCAGTGGTTCTGCCCCCTGCCTTGCAAGTGCAAGGTGCTGAGTTTAATCCCTGGTACCAAAAACAAAACAACAAAAAAACAAACACAAAACAAAAAACAAAAACAAAACACAATGAAAATCAACAGTAAGGCTGGGCATGTTATGGAAAAATACATTAGAAATGGACTTTAAATACCGGTGGAAAATGTCACGCTTAACACAGAAAGTATACACAAGCATTCTACTTTCTTGTGGACGTCTTTAGAAAGCTAGTCTTTTGGCATGATACCTAAATTTTTAGTCAAGGCCATTCGGATTACTTTGATGTCCAATTCTGCATCAGCATAGTAGGAAGGTCTGTTGAGGAAAAGAGCTGCTGTTTTTTGGAAGCAGCATAGCATCTAGCAAGAAATGTAGACTGAAAAAAAGAAAATAAGTCTGATACAAATACCCAGACAAAGGCGTGAACCAAGGCCAACCCTTGTACAATCTAGAGCAATTAGTGCAATCAGGGCAGACTGCCAGGAGGGAGCCTGAAGTAGACACTGAGTCTGGAAAGAGGACAGTACCTATGTGTAAGCACAGGAATGCAAACTCCACAAGCAGGGGGGCATGTGTGTTTTGCTGTGTTGTAGACCCTAGCACACTCCCCTGTGTGACACAGGTTAGGTTTTCAACAGACTCTAAACTTTATCAATTAATGAATGAGTGAAAGCAACACAAAGAGAATAACTCATTCAAAGACCAACTCTGGAAAGAGAAGGGCTTCAGGACACCTCCTCCTCAGTCCAGGGGCTGGAGAGAGCTGCTAGAAGGAGCTTTCATTGGTGAATGAAATGATGGATAGACTAGGACAGTAACGGGCAGCTCTTCACCTGAAGCAAAGGAATTCAGAGCTCTTTTTATGGGAAATAGCCTTGAACCTGATGGGCAGCATGGTGAGTTCTTCTGCCCGTGGGAAGTATAGTGTGGTAACAATGTGAAGGGCAAGGGGACTGGATCTAACTGAGTTTTCTGATTAATCAGACATTGAGGATCAGAGCGAGTAAAGTCCAGGAGGCAGTCCTACTGCCTCGACTAGGTAAAGGTAGGCTGGGGTACAATGGATTGAAGCAGAAAACACAAAGGGAAGAATAACTTTTCTATGGAGAAAAGCAAAATAATTTGGGTGTGGGCTAAATAACAAAGATTAGCACCTGAGTTTAGGAAAAGGAGAGCAAAGCCTTCTGTGCTGGTTCTATGGTCTTTCTAGAACACAACACTTAAAAATTTAGCTTTCTATAAAGAAAAATGAAGAAATCTTTGCTGTGGAGATGTCATGCAAGCCTTATTTTGCATGTTGTATACTTAAACCTATTTTGATTTCTAACAATTATAGCTTTCTTAGAGGAATAAATATAAATTGTTTATGCCGTGATCTTAATGAACTGCACCTATTCTTTGCCAGTTTGCACTACAAAATGTAACAATAATCAATTATGTGAAAGAATCTATGTCTATCTTATCTACCTGTATAAAACAGAAAGCAAATTTACATACATAATGTTAGGTCTTTTTCTTTCTTCTTGAAGTACATAGGTTAACCTATTACATTAAAATAAATCTTGAGTAGTTTGCCTTTGAGTTTGACATACAGGCCAAAGGAAGATCTAAATATTTCTCCTATTTAAGAATGTGGCTTAAAGTAAATTTCAAAAAGAGAAGGAAAATAAAGGACTTAGTTTTTCTGGACAATTTATGCCATTTTGCCATGTTCTTGCCCCCCAAAATTGGTTTCTAATGAAAATGATTACACATTTATCATTTGAATCACCATTTGTATAGTACAAAGTTAAGGATTTTTCCTCAATCTTGTTAAAATTTTCACTAATACAGTGAAATCAGATGATCCATAAGCTTTCTTCATTTTTACATTACTAAGAAATAAAATTTGTTTCCAGAGAAAAGGTACACACAGTTCCTTGTAAAGTTTATTCTATAATAGGCAGAAAGTTCCCAAGTAGTAAAAGAAATTAAGAATTAATCACAAAATAAATTGTGAGTTTATACTAATAATCCTATTGGTTAAGAAATAAACATTTATCCAAGTGTGGTGCACCTGTATCCCAGATACTCTGTAGACTAAGGCGGGAGGATTGCAAGTATCAGGCTTGCCTGGGCAACTTAACAAGACTGTTTTTCAAAATATAATTTTATGTTTTTCCCTTTTTTAAAATTAGTATGTGTTTGTGATGCACAATACATACATTCATCATGGGGAACTGGTACGTATCCATGTAGCATCTTGATCCTTTTAACTTCTTCCCCTCTCCTCTCTCTTGTTTTTCCCCTCCTCCAGATTCCCTATCCCACTCCACTTACTTCGTTTAGTGTCTGTTCCTTTCACTAAAATGTAAGGTCTATCAAGGTTGAGATTTTTATCCATCTACTACACATCTGAAATACCCGAAATGGTGATTATCATGTAATATTTATAAGTATTTTGTTAGTATATTTTCTTGAGTAATTACAATTAGATTAAAACAATCCATGTAATATATGTTATAATAAGAAAAGAAACAAATAGATAAAAATTTAAAGATAAAATGGTGGGTTAGATTAATTTCATTTTGAGTGGAAAAATAAAAAATAATTTAAATCTAAAATTTATCAGCCCTAAAATTCTTAATAGAACTACAAAGTTCTCATATAGATAATAAGAATGATCACTTTACTACTTTGGCTGCTGCTTTTGATAGAGATCATAATCATATGTTGGCGTTGAAGACAGTGGATATTCAGCAGTACCTCAGATTCCAGGAACTGATGTAGGAGTTTTCATATCCAAGAGTCACATTCCTATGCTGCATACTAAAATAAACAGATGCTTTTGTGACTCACCAAGTTCATCTCTCATTCTAGGCCATGACCTGAACATTAACAGTGCTTACCACCTGTGCCTAGAGTAAAAGTGGTTTGTAGGTATGTAGCTCATCAATCCTACCCTACTCTCTGAACATAGCTGAAATATTTTTAGAGAAGAAAAAGAACTAGGAGAAAAAAGGAGTGACCCCTCAAAGACACTGACAGTACATAGGGGTATTTGTCAGTGGGACAGCTGGGCAACCAATCCTAAATCATACAATTTTCATGATAAATGAGTTCCAAGTGTCCAAAATCACTTTGTAGAGTCCAAAGGGGAAATCAAGTTGCTAGTTCTTTCCATCCACTCTAAGTCTTAGTATTACTTAAAGAGACACCCCGGAGAGTTTTATACTAGCTCAATTTCTAAGCCTTCAAGCATTTTAAATGAAATAAATTGGAAAATCAATATGTTCTTAATAAAAAAACTGAAATAATTTTTTTCACCCATTAAATATAATTTGTTGTTTCTTAAAAAGAAAAGTTAAAGGAAAAATACCCTTCAACAAATTGCATCTTGATTTTTATTAAGTGGTTAGTTTAGGCATGAAAATACTTATTGTTAAAAATGAAATTCTACAGGATATTTTTTCATGTTCTCTAAAAATTCAAAAGTACTCTCAGTTGTAAATATATTCATAATATTAGGAAGTAGAAATATTAGTCCTGCCAAATAAACAAACAGTAATTCTAGAATATTGTTATTCCAGCCCCCAAATATTGCAATTTTAGCCCCTAGACCAAATATGAAAAAGTACAATACCTCACCTTGGATTTAGAGTTACTTTGAACAAAAGTTTCTTGTCCTTGATTACTGTTCCCTTTTCTTAGATTGGGTGAACATGGTAGAAAAAGGAATTACACTGCTTCTCAGCCTTTACTTGATACAACTCAGATGTCTCCTTTCACTCGTGTACATTCTGTGGTTTAGAGAAAATGTTTATAATAGGTGAGCTGGAGCTCCCACACACTGCAGGAATTCCAGCAGCAGCATGTCAATATGACTTCACTCCCGGTTTTTTATTTTGATTGAATTTCAAGTCCTAGCTCCATTCATGGGTATACTTCATTATATTTCCACAAAACATTCTGTTATTTAAAAATACTGTGTTGACTGTTGAAGATATTTTTTCTCCAATGTATCTTTCATTTTATGATTTTTAAAAATATGGTTGTTCAGATTCTATGCTATTC